CATCAACATCAATGTTGAAGAGAAAGAACGAGGGATGGAGCCAAAAGAAAGGGTCTTACATTCCCTGAATCAAGATCCATGATCTCCAGTGATTCCCAGTGATCTCCAATGATCCCCAATGATCTCCAACGATCTCCAACAACTCCATAAAAATCAAGGAGACAAGTCCAATGACTCGGAGCAGTTCAACTCCTCCGTAAGCTAAAACTCAAGACAATTTCTCTAAAAGAAAAATAAAAAACTGACAAACTCATAGTCAATTTCACTTAATCGTTCTCCATCTTGACACTCACCAGTTTAACGGCTGAAGAAATCGTCCTCGTGATTCCTAAATAAAACCGAGATGAACCCTAACCAGATATGTGTTACTAGAATTTAATTAAGAGACAATGACTGTGTGCGTGTTATCAATAACTTAATATCACGAAGAAAAGCCTCCGCTGGACTCATAATTCGTAATTAATGTGAAGACAAGTGGAAGTCGAGATAAGAATGGGAGGAAAAAATATGTGAAAGATTTATGAAAATGAGAGATTTAGGTGAAGTAAAGAAAGAAAAAAAAAACATACGCGAGTCAACTCTCGCCAACCACGATGTCAATTTCTCATGAGGTCTTTAAACTAGAACCACCCCTCATTTTTTCACCTATCCTCACCCTCTCCTCTACGCCCCTCATTCATCAAATTTTTTTTCTCTCCCCTCTAGCCTGATATTCAACGCCTGAAAATGTCCCAATTTCCATAGATCCTCATATTTTCTGTTCATTTTAATATTTATTGGAAAAGGGGATTGAACAAACTGATGTATGTAAACTTCAAGGGATTATCGCATTTCCTTCATGAATATTCAACGCGATTTCTGCATCAGTCAAACGGAGAATTTTTTTTCTAATTCATCATCTGAGAATTGTTATCTTGACACTCCGATAAAAATTACAAATTGAAACCCAAAATTTATGGTATCAATAGCAATAATTCAAGTATCTCCTCAATTTTTATTTACAACCCCCAAAAATGATGGAATATTACAAAAAATAGTTTAAATTACCGACAAATTCTCTTCCCCGCAGAATGACTTCTGGTTTTTGTTAATTCGTCCATTTTTTTAAATTAATATGAGGACATGTAACATGTAACGAAGAATTTTCTATTGGGCCATTGATTTTCACTCGACGACAAAATACAAAATAAAAAAAAGATGATAATGCGGTTTTAGCTGGGAGTACAAGACCGTTGTTGTATTACATTTCACAAACATGGAAATATGCACAAAAAAAAACTGTACCTTCTCAGTATCCGGAAACATGAGATAATTGTTTTAACCGAAAGTCTTCAGAGAGATGATGAAGGGGAAAAAGTATATTATACACGCATAAGTAAAAACAAAATGAGAATAATATATATACATATTGTATGAATTGCTGGTATAACTTGCAGTTACTGCAAATGTTGCATTATCTGTCTGTTTATTCTATACAGGTCCAAGGTGTATTATTGTATCTGATGGAATATTATATATTATGAAAGAATATATATGATATGTACATCGCGAAGAAATAGTTCTGAATTTATTAAAATCTTGTATTTGAATTCCTCTGGAAAATTCGCAAAAAAATATTCAATTAAATTCACCCGGTAAAATTTGTGAATAAATATATGAGTAAATTATGGATTTTCTTCTAGAATATATTTGAATATATTTATCTATTTGTTTAGTGAGTATTTGAATAAATATTTATTATGCAGGAAAAATGAGCGAAAGTTGAATAGAATTTTTTATCAGTTTGTGATGAAATTTCCAGAGGATTCATGTCAACCCCTTTTTCCTGGAAGGTGAAACTTTCAATGAGTACTTCTGATACATTACTATGGAATTTAATACTCTCGTTGTTGCCTTCATCTCGGTGTTTTCCCTCTGTATAGCATTAATGACGATGTGGAAAGCAACTTTTTGGGTCAAGCGCCTTTGACACTAATAAGGTAAGAGTATTCTCAGGGTGCACCCAAGAAAGGAAGACCTTGGTGATGAGGAAAAAAAGGAATGGGGGATTTCCCCGACGGAGGGAAAATAACGATGTTTACCATTCATACCGCGTTTTGATAGTTATGATAAGGGACTCGGGATGATCTCAGCAGTCGCTGAGCTAACTTTTCTCTTTTTTCACTCGTGTCTTGAATTTCTTATCGATATTTTTCTCTTCCAAAAGAACAACGTAAAGCTATTTTCTTTAATCTACACCTCTAGTCCCGGATGAAATTCCGATTTTTAATGATTCTTCTTCATTTTTCTTTCTACTTCATTAATTATATTGAGTTGTTTTAAATGCTCAGTGGTAATAATAATTTCGGTTTATTTTCACTGTCGGTTTTCAAGTTATCGGTTCATTATCGTCGACGTCGGACTGCACTTCAATTATGTTCCAATTGTATTGTTGACTTGGCATGTTAATAATTTTAGCTTCGACGAAGCACTTGTCTTTGTGATAAGACACAAGCCAGTACAATTCCAGAGAAAGACACAATTGAAGCATGAAAAATATTCTGAGTATTTTTTCTCTGGGGCATGTGTTACTCTTCGTAATTGTGCAAACCGGATGCAATGGACAAAAGGATCCAGGAAACAATGGAGAGTTCAGAGGTTTGCTCGGGCCCATCAAGAGGTTTGAGTGCGCATTCCTGAAACCGGTGAAGGTAAAATAATAATAAAATTTGT